CTCCGCTCCAACGAACTGACTTTCATGGTCAACTTGATGAACTATTGGACCAACTTCGCCAATACTGGGTGAGAAAGTGGAACCTGAACATAGAAAATGATAATTTCTATTCATGACATGAGTGAGTTTGAGTTTCTTTCATACTTCAACACATACTTAAAACGATATGCCATCAGGGACGTGAAATGCACTAAACAAATTATAAATAAATAGAAAATATCAACAAAATATTTAATCTGAGTTTACTACTCCCCCCAAACGATTCAAAGCAGACCCTTTCAGCTATATGTAAATAGTTTAGACTACGATTTGTTTCAAAGGCAATATGTGAAAGGTTTTCTCAGTTTTTACATGCGCCTTATCAACCATTTAGTTGTATACATTCACGTTGAGTCCACATGATAATAAAATGTCATACACGATAGTTTCCAGGACCCTTTCATCATTTCCATGAGTATAACATTCATGGTATGGTATGGTATGGTATATTTTATTTATTCACGGTTAAAAACATAATACAATTGTGCCCGCATTCAGCAAAAGCTGTTTTTCAGCAGGTTTTTCATAAATATGTAGCAGCAAGAAGTTTCTCACCCTATTCGCACTTGGCGGTCAAATGTAAAACCTTATATCCTTCTTGAAAAGATAAATCATTCAGAATTTCATTTAAATATTAAAAAAATAAAATAGTTTGATTACAAAATATTCAATATCATTTTTTTTTGTCTCACACCCTTCATTTGAATCCATCATGTGGGACTACAGCACTCCCAATTCAGCTGAGCTACCAACATGGCCAACCTACACAGTTCCGGAACTGCAGTACATGGTCCTGGACCCGGACCTGACCCCGAGTCGAGCTCTACGTGCTGATGACGTCGCATTTTGGAACGAGTTTGTCCCAGAGTTGCTTGAGTCTTCAGGTAAAATGTCACCTACAACTTTCATTATTGAATATTACTTATAAACTGTATGTTATTATTCTCAAATCACCGTATACTTTATATTATATATACTGCATATAAAATGTATTGATCTTTGATTGGCAGAGAGCTCTTCACGTGACCAAAAATATTTTAAACTATCTTAAGGTTGCTCTTAAAAGGTATTATTTGGGAGTACTGTTTGGGAGAAATATTAGGGAGATCGATTTTGTTTTAATTTTTGAACTAAAAAAATATATAAATTGTAAAATTTAAAATGTTGTGATACAATAATTTTTGAAATGTTTAAACTTCAACGAAAGAATATCGTGGATGAATAAAGGAACCTCATAGAGTATTCATAGGCCATTATAAATGCATTTAATTGTAATGATGTTTTAGTTCATCATTTTCTTCCTTTATCAATTTTCTAGTAAATATCTGTTGTAGATAAGAAATAACAAGATCAAGAAGTGATCCCCACATTACCTAAACCTGAGATGATAATTGCCCAAACAGTCGACATTTCAAAAGGATTCACCTCTCCGCCCCCCCCCCCCCCATGGCCCGAATTCACAAAGGAGGCTTGTCGACAAACCTAGGTATATGTGCGTCATATGTCGCGTTTTAAACCTAGGTTTGAAACGCGTCGAAACGCGTCATATGAGGCACATAAACCTAGGTTTTGTCGACAAACCTTCTTTGTGAATTCGGGACATAGAGTTCGACGTGACACTAAAATGTTGTGTACAGATCATCAATGCACGGTGCTAGTGAAGATGGTCGATGAATTGACATTGAATTACTGATGTTGCAAGAAATCCCATATGGTCTAGTGGTTAGGATCCGGCGCTCTCACCGCCGTGGCCCGGGTTCGATTCCCGGTGTGGGAAGTACAGACTTTTGTTTTAACGCCCAATCCACCAGGGAAACCCAACCGGTCCAGATTCACTCTGCCTGATATGGACATCTAGAAGCTCGAACCCTGGTTCCCTTCTGACCTAGCCCTTAGATTAAAGCATACACCTGTAATTTCATGCATGCATGCATAAATAAATACATCAACTATTTGTTCATAAGCTTAATAACAAAATTCCAAATTTTAGTTCTTTGAAGAAGAAAATTATTCAATATTATGAAGACGAGAGATATATCCATTCTATATCTGGTATGTATAACAAATTTTGTACCAAATGGCAGGCACTTCAACATTTGTTTGTATGAACAACAAGGAGAGAAATGTGAAAGTATTCTGTTTTGTTTGAATTAAGGAAAGACTTAATTTCATTGAATTGTAAAAATGTTTGTTTGACTCAATAAAATAGCCTATGGAGGGCTAAAACGTTTAAAAGAAATAAAAATAAATACTGCTAAATCCACTCAGAACCGACCGATAATTGATAAAATTTTAGAAATTCCATTTTTGTTTTGTTTTTGTTTTTGTTCGATCTTGTTGTTTCCACGTTGTTGTTGAACACATTGGCCATATCGGTATGGCCAAAGCACCACATAATTATATATTATACTATATTCGTCATTTCTTTCCCTCTCTTTCCACTACTCAGGTACGAGCAAAGTGAGGAACAGATGGTCTGCACCATGGTAGAGCTTCTAATCAGAAGAAATGAAGAGATGCACAGAGTATCTAGGGATATTATAGAAGCTATAATTATAATCAGGAGAATATCAACATTTATCAAAATAGAATAAAGAAGCTAATCTGCATACACATAAATGTGTTGTTTTATTTCGTTTGTTTGATTTCTATGTTTGTTTTACTTGGCTGCTATGAAAGCATGTGTTTGCTTGTAAGAAAGCAACCAGGGACTGAAGGCTTGAAGTCCCATCCGACTAGGGTCATTTTAATGATGTTGAATGCCTTACCAAAGGGCTTCGAACCCTGGACCTCCCGATTACGAGACCAATGCTTTACCACTGATCTATCTTGGGACTACGATAAATGAAGACGTCAATTCTGAAATCCTTTTATTGCGATCAGTTCGGCTCGTAAACCAATTCAAGATTGGTGAGCATCAGAATAATCGGCGAAGTCTTATCCTTATAATAATGATGATGAAATCAACCGGCCCTAACCCATTAAGGATCTTAATTGTTCCTGTCTACTGTTTATTATGCAAAATCCATTTCCTAATAGCGGGATTCTGACCGGGATTTAGCTTTCGCCGGCGAACCATTCCGAGTCTTATTTTTCCTTTGAGGGGAAATGCTATGCACACACTCATCAATCCTTCAACAGCGAATCACGCCAGATCTCCCCTTCCTACTATTCCTCGTGAAAGAACCCAGCAAAAGAATAATACTGTCGAAACCTTTCATTTTGCATTTTGACGTATGAAGTCCATTAACTTATGCCTTGCTAATAATCGACTTAATCGTCACCGGCTCATTTAGCGTAAAACCCCCATACATTGTACGGCTTTGCAGCAATATAAACCAGCAGCATCTTCTCAGCATCATTTGGTAGATGATGAATAAATTCAAAGAATTATCTTAGTAGATCGAGCCATAATTGATAATCTTCTCTTAGCCGATTCCTGTGATTTGATGCTTTGAAATACACGTGAGATCATGAGATCAGGGTAGATTTGAAGATTATTTCCATATTATGTGTGTGAGAGTGTGTGTGCGCGTGTGTGTGCATGACGTGTGTGTTTTGTGTGGGTAAACATTGTTGAGCCATTATATACTTGATCTCACATTGTCTTGACGGAAAGATAACTAACAACAAACAAACAAACACAAACAAACAGATGGGAACATTATTTTTGCAGTCATTTTTACACATTAAATCTGTTCGTCTTACCTACTAACAAAGTTACCTTTTGACTCATTAAAGGAAAACATTTTTTTGAAACACGTCAATTAAATCATGTATACAAAAGATTTATCCGAAATATTGAACAAAAGACAGGCGGTTGGGTGCCAAGCAGAAAGGCACATCTGTTGCAAAAAAGAACCCCTAAAACAGACAAAAACTGCAGCAACAACCACAACAACAAAAACAAAGACCAAATTGGTCCGTACGGCGTCACAAATATTTTCCTAATTGTTAACTCAGTAATTTTAGCAATCAAATTATGTGGAGCTGACGACAAATCCATATTCAGTAACTCTTATCATATTTTAACTTTGACTTATAAAATGCTGGACTTCGACCACGGCGACGTACTATGGAGGAAAGAGTTCCTTTATCTATTATAGCTTATTTTTTGTAATGACCTTTAACGTTTTTAGGCTACAGAAGCATTGTTGCCGCTGATGCAAAGCAACAATAGAAAAAATAGTAATAAAATAAAATAACAAACTAGGGGAAAACTATGGTCTTAAATCTAGAATTGTTCTTAAATTCAATAAAAACCGAAATATTCACGATAATCTGATTAGCGAAGATTTAACATAGTGCTAACAAATAAGGGAAGACTGTGTTTGTAATGACTCGTCGTGCACTTTCAATGATTACATATTTACAGAAGTAAATAATAAATGACAAATATAATTCGCAATAAATATTGACTCATGATATAATGTTTCCTCGTTGCTGTGAAGCCTCATAAGTGTCTGAATATAAATCTGTCCTTTAAATGGTATGAAAATGAAGAACTCTAGAAAAAAAAAAGCTGTGCGAGATGCCACAAGCAATAAACCGGCTCTCTCGAGCACCGATAATAGGCGAAAATTTCATTTACCATAAACATATATTCACGGTACCGCTATCACTGTCAAATATTGGGTCTCAAGCAATAAGTTATCTTAATCGGCTGCACGTGGATTGGGCTGAAGAAAACGATCGGAAACAAAACAAATGCAACACGGTGGCGGATTTACGGTTGCGTGTAAACGGCCTTTTCGGTGGAAATTTAAGACGCCACAAAAAGTGTGGTGTACGTGTATATGAGATTGGGTTAAAAACAAAAGAGCAGCAACACTGCGGCATGATGAAGTCATCTTTTGACGATAGAGGGAGTGGAGGAAAAGGCGCTGCCGGTTAGATAGAAGTGGAGCCATTCCTTAATAGATTGGATTTAACATCTTCGCGATATCAATCCTCGCCATTTCATCTCCTCTTTATGATATCGCCTCTTGGTTCAATCTCATATCTCTTTTATTTTTATGTCATATCACTCTTTTTTTTTTGTCTGCACGGAGAGTGGGGTTTGTGGTTTTTATTGACGTCCGAGTCAAATGAGAAATTTTCTTCTCAGCAAAGTGGTCAAGATTTAAATGGAATTGAAAGGCCTAAATCTTCTTCTGCACTCTAACAAATCTTTGCTGCGAACATGAAACACATCGGAGGTCATTTCTGCTTGACAACTCTGACGAATCTATGAGAAAGCTGGGTATAGATATGACATCATAACAAGTGGCGAGGGTGAAAAAATAAAATAGAAATGCATTTGTATAGACAAAAAGTAATGACAATGAATGATAGGTATACAAAAATGGAAGAAAACACAAATATAGAAATCGCAAATTTACTTTGCCATGTAGTGCCCTAAAAACGACGGAGAAAGTCAAAGATCCCTGTACTAAACGAAAAAAAAACTACACCTGTGACTGTTTACAATATTGAAAAACAAATCCACAGATCAACGACCGGAATTAACTTTTTAAAAACACGTGTCAATACGAAGTCTACTTCCTGATGAGATTTCGATTACGTAATGATGTGGTTTCTCATGTTAAAAGACGATTGTAAAACATTTATGATTATATTGATTTGTAGACAATAGAAGAGATGTTACTTTACTCCTTACCTAACAAAATAAATCATAAACAACTAGGAAAACTATCCCGACACTCTTAAAAATGTAATCTTAAATATGTTTATTATCTTCTATTATGCCATCTGCGTTTCCTTCAATGTTAATCTTTCACAATGATACGAATATTCAATGGAAATGGGTTACACGTTCGTAATATAGAATGTTAGATGTGAGAAAGAGTCTAACATGTGAGTACAGGCAACATACAGAAACAAACAGACGAAAGGGAGATATATCTAGAGAAAAATATAAATACATGCATTGTACTTTGTAAAGGTAGAATATGTGATGTGATATTGCGAGGAAATTAATGTTCTATTATTTTCAAACGTCTTTGTGATTGAATCTCAATTATTTTTAAAATACAGAATATGAGACAAACAATGCTAACACTTTAAAAGCGAATGTCGTTTGATAATTAAATGGTTTATCGATCTTGGTTGAACTCGACTTTAGTATCGCCGACAGAAGTAAGAGAACATCGAATATTTTCCCTTTTCATTCGGTAGAGGTTTTGACTGATTTTATAAAGTTCAAAACTTTCTAAATGTAATTCAAAACATTTAGATAGATAAACAGAGGATATATCGCTTAACGAATGGACAGACAGTTAGTAACAAAAAGGAATATGAGAGCATATAAATGAAACGTAGAAGCAAGACACACACACCCACAATACACGCACGAAATGTGGAGGAAAGAGAGGGTTGTTATTGAAGCCTCTGTATTTGAGTGGGTAGAATATATATTTTTGGATATAATCAAGCTGTTTGGCAGTCTAAGTATGCTACGAAAGGAGTTCTATTTATGAACCATAACAGTTTTAATGACATCATCGTCATTCTATCATTAACGTCTAAGGAAAGATGGTTGAAATAGAATATACACTAAACGCGTGAATGGCATTTTTGACCGAAAGTAAACGTTTACAGATTCCATAATGAAAACAATACAACTCATTTTATTCATATCCAACACTCCTTTCTTACCGTGACGACGATGTCATTTCCCTACTCACGAATTTACATAGATTTATTTAGTTCTGGTAGAAAAGTACTGATTTGATAAAAACTCAATATGAAGCATTTTAAGAGAATATATCACTACAATCAAGACAATGCAGTGAAAGGATCCAGCGCACGAGACCACCGCGGTTCACGATACCAACAAACTGTCCTTGTATATTTCTTTGTTTATTTCTTGAGGATCTTTATTTTTCTTTCTAACTTCCCGTATATTTTTAATGGTTTAACATTTCATTTATTAATTGGGAGTTCCCCCCCTCTCTCTCTCTCTCTCTCTCTCTCTCTCTCTCTTTTCTCTCTCTCTCTCTCTTCTCTTCTCCTCTTCTCTTTTTTATTCGTGATGTATTCTCCGCGTTCATGTCTTTTCTTCATTTCTTTTCTATTTTTCATTATGAGTTTCTATGTTGTGTTTCGTTGTCATTTTGGAACGTTTGGTTGCGTGGGCTTTCGGTCTACAGGGATGGCCCACTAAGAAATGGAAGAAGTATGTTTAACATGTCACATGTCAGATAACTTTAGAGTAACCTTTTTTTTGCTTGTTTCTTTTCATCTTCAATCAACTTCTCCCCATCCAAGCATATTTGGTCTAAGACGAGAAGGCGTAATATAAACCCGCACGACCCCAAACACCGGAAACCATTTCTCATCAAGACTCGCGACCTCACACCATAACAAAAAACGTGTCGCCCATTTTCACTGCTACTCTTCTAGTCATTCAATCCATGTTCTCTCCCATTCTCTGATCGATGGGCTGACAGATTAGTTCCGTTTTTAAAAAATCCCTTTAAAGCTCTCTCGCCATCTTTATTTATTCTAGCTGAATTATTACTCGTTGTATCAG